AAAGAGGACTACTAATGCTATGCCCACTCTGCTGAGCTCCTTATAGGCAAGGTCTAAATTAATCCCCACAAAGTGGGCACGATTATCCCATTTCACAGATGAAACAGATTCAGAGAGGCATGTGACTTTCCCAAGGACCTTTCAACTGGTCAATGATGAAGCTGAGATTTGATCCTAGGACTCAAGAGGCCCTGTCCTTCCCCTGGCCCAAATCAACCTAGGTGTAGCAAATCCAAAGAGGGAGTTCAGGTAGGAATAGTTGGAGGGCTCCACCCCAACCCCTTTTCTCAGCCCAGCTCTGTCTGCTCCTGTAAGACACCCACCTGGAATTCTCCCAGTTTGGAGGAGGGGTCTGGGTTGTTGTGCATGAAGACAAAGCACTAAACCAGGAATCAGGAGTCCTGGCCTGGAGTCCTGGCATTGCCTTGAAATTACTGTGTGACCTGAAGAGGAACTCTCAACTTCTCTGATTACAAGGGTCTCTTATCTATAAAGTAGAAGCAAACGGCCTGTCCTGCCTCCTTTATTGAGGTTTTGTGAGATCTGAGAGGATAATGGGTATGAAAGCGTTTTGAAAACTGTAAAAGGTTTCATGGGGAAAATTGTGATTATCCTGTTGTTGACATGAGGGAACATGTAAACATGAGTGAGCACATTTATGTGAGAGTACACATAAATGTGCTCACTCATGTTCACAGGTACCAGGGCACAGGAACATGCTCACTCATGTTCACAGGTACCAGGGCAAGTGTTTGAGGGAGCTGTGTGCACTCAAGTGGGCCTGTCAAAGTACATACATGGGTGTTGGTGACCAGGATAGTGTAGTGGTGCATGGGGCTATGGTCAGCTCCAGGGAATGGGGGGCCTCAGGTACTGGGAGTGAGGCTCACACACTAGAGTCATCCTTGAGCTTATCTGCCTATGAGGGGTTGTACTAGAGCAATTGCATGCAAAGACTTGAGGCACCATCCCACCTATGAGTCACACCACTGGGACATGTTCTGAAGATCCAACTGACAGCTTCCATGGGAATAGACAGGCCAGTCAAGGCTGATGGTCTGGGGGTTGGTAGAGGGTGACCTGAATCCTCCCATGTCCCATTTAGGAAGGAGTCAGCTCCCTCAATGTGGCTATATTTCCTTCCTTAGACTGACACTATGAGCAGTGGTAGTCCAGAGTCCTATGGGAATTGTCCTCAGCTCCCTCAGCTTCTGTCTTCCTGCTGCCTGGCCCCTGGCTCCCCTCTTGTTACTGGCTAGGGGTATGAGAAGATAGCCCTTGTGAGCAGAGCTGACATTTCAATCTGTCTCCCAAGCTCTTCAGATGCCTGCAAATTGCATCAAGACTTCATCACCCGCCTTGTCCAACACCCAGCCCTGTCTGGCCTCTGTCAGGCCTAGCCCTCAAACAAGTAACAAATTACATTCCAGCTACTGCAGCAAGCCTGCAAATGGGTGCCTAAAACACAAGGGACCAGAGCTGCATAGATAGCCTCTAGCTAAGAACAAGGTACCTTCTGGTTGTGAGTCCTGGGCAATCTGGACTTACTCCACTCCATGCTCGCATCGCAACCCGCACCACCAGGCTTGGCTAGGAACCAGGCCAGCTTGAGGAGGCATTGCCTTCCCCAGATCAGAGGCAGCCAAAGGCCTCAGCTCCGTTTTCCCACCTTGATGGGCTTCTGAGCGGGGAGGATTGCTGGTGGGAACATAAATCTCAACATCTCGGAAAAAGCCAGGTCAGGCCAAAATCCACCTCCCTGCTACGCCTGGTAGTCCTGGGGCCTGGGAAAAAAGATGTCTAGAAGTCTATCTTCAGGTGACACACTGATGAGGTTGGGATAGAAGAAGTTGCCTTTTCCTCCAGCAAAGCAAGACTCTGCTACTAACACCTGTGTGACCTTTGCAAGTTACTTAGCCTCTCTGAGCCTCTATTTACTTATTGAAATTTTACTACCTACCTTATGCAATTATGGTGAGGATGAAATAGTATTTATAAATAATACAAGGCATGACACATTGTAGGTACTCTGTAAATGGTAATTATTGTTTTTACTACTGCTGCTGCTGGCAAAGCAGCAGGGTTGGGAGCTGGAAGCTAGAGGTCAAAAGGGTGTTTATGGGAGCTAGGAAAAATGCTAAATTCATTTCTACTTCTCTGCATTTGCTGCCTTAGTAATTTCCCAGCAGAAATGTCCTCCCTTCCTCCTTCTCCTCCCAGTCCTGCCTCCTTAAGGTGCTCTCAGACCCACCTGCTCCATGCGTTTTCCCTGAGCCTGCAACCCCTCTCCTCCGCCTAGAGGAT